GGAGGAAGCAATACCACCTCCACTACAACCACCACAAGGAACAAGAAGCAACACATACCGAGCACTGACCATGTGCCAGTCCCTTTTCATTTCCTCCTCACAGCAACCCTCAGAGGTAAGACCCGTTATTATCTCCATTTACTGATGAGGAAACTGCGGCTCAGAGAGGTTAAGTCACCTGCCCAAGGTCACACAGACAATAAGTGGCAGAACCAAGATACAATTCTTTCCATCTGGTTCCAGAGTGGACCAAAAAACCCCAAAAAACAACTTAAGATAGCAGAGTGTGATAAGGGCTTGGAAAGAAGTAAACAGAGCATATGTATGTGGAAAGTTTCTGGAGGGTCAAGGGAAACTGCTGACTGCATTATCTCTGAGGAATGGGATTGGGGGTCTTGGGTGGGATTTTACTTTTCACTTAACGTAAATTCATTTTGCCATTTTTGAAGTGTTTGGTATGTTACATGTTATTTTACAATAATATATATATTATATGTTATTATTATACTGTGTGTGTGTGTGTGTGTGTGTGCGTGTATGTGTATCTCTTCTGACTCAGTGATGTAAATATCCAAAGATCAGCCTTTGGGGATGTATTTTATACTCTCAGTGGAGACAAGGCTATACAACATTTCAAAGGTCACTCAACTGAGCAATTAGCAAATGTGGCGATACTACTTCTCAGAAGTCAATCCATAATCATTTCCATATTTATCTCAATTTGCCTTCCCCCTCCCTTCCTCCCATCCAATTGACCAGATTTCTGTGGACTGAATTCCTAAGGGCAGAGGCTCTTTTGAATTGCCCATAGAAGATGCTCAATAAAATATCCATCACATTGAAGGAAAAAAAAATTTGTGTGTGCATGTGTGTGTATCTCTCAATTCAAAGTTTGTTAGCTTCTTTGTAAATGACAGGAGTTTCGGTAGTGGTCTTGGGCAGAAGGACCTCTCAAAGCCTCAGTTTTATAAACTGCAGAATCAAGGGTCCCCAAAACAGGCATCGCCTGTGTTTGTTGTGAAGAATTAAAAAAGAACAAAAGAGCTTCGCCCAGGACCCAGCACATGTAAAGGGTTCAGTGAAAAGCAGTTGCTCTGATGTGTTATGTGCTTTCTCTACATTCTCTCCAATCCTCCCATTTTACAAAGAAAGAAATTGAGGTCCCAGGAGGGGAATGGCTTGTCTGGGGTCACACTCCTATAATCTGCATGGGTGAGTGGGGGAAGAAATGTGAAACTCCTGGACAGAGATTCCCCCGCCCTCCTCTCGATCCCAAACCTGCCAAAGCCTTCCTGTTTGGGTATTTAGGGAGTGGCAGGGGGTGTAAAGAGAATTTTTGTTGCCAATGGTCTAACTTTTATTTCTTCAACACACCCTGTATTCTGGGTATACCAATGAGCACACAGTTCTCCTAATGGCCCTGCCTTTGCCTGTCCTGCTCCTGCTGCCTGCAATGTCCTCATCCTTGCCCTCTCCTCCTTTAAGACTCAGCTCAAGTGTCACCCGTGGTCGCCCAACGTCCCCCCCGCCCCCCCACCAAACACACCAGGTTGGAAGAGGCAAGCACCACCTGCCTGAAACACAATATATATAGTGTGTGTGTGTATATATATATATATATAATGACATGCCGTGATGACATCTATTATAATAATCATACCCACTACTTAGTGGGCACAGACCAGTGTGGACACTACGCCTGGTAATGTCCATGCACTGCTTCTCTCAACTTGTATAACAACCCTTTGAGGAAGGGGAGTATCCTATCACGAGCCCATTTTACAGATGAGGACACTGAGTCTCAAACCAAATACCATGGCCTCAGACCACAGCCAGGAAGGGGCAGCGCCAGGGTTTGCCCCCAAGTCTCCCTGGCCGACTCCCTCCTTTCTATCCCTGCCTCCTCCTGGAAGCCTCCCTGGGTTTACCCCTGCTGCACCCTGACCCAACCTCACCAACATTTGTGGCTTCTCTATTCAACTTCCTTAACTCCAAACATCCTGGATTTGCAAGCTGGAAGCAAGTTCAAACCCCTGCTCTGCCACTGGCAGCTGACAAAGACCTCACCGCCACAACACTGAGTCCTGAATCTGTAAAATGGGAATGACGAGCCCCACCCCCTCACACAGGAAGATGGTGAGGGTTCCAAGGTAAAGTCCCCTCAGGTGTTTATGACCCTCCCAGGGCAGGTGACAACAGATGCTCAGGAAGGTTTGCTGACTTGAATGAAATACTGACACTTAAAATATTCAGGCCACCTCCACTGGGGGTTTCCTTCTCCAGATTGACTGCCATGCCTCCAGGAAGGGGTCTTCAACCGCGTGGCTCTTGAAACACAACACTGACCACTGTCTCTATCCAAGTTCAGTTCCGTCATCACCTCTCACCTGGATTTTTCGAGCAGTCTCCAGCCTCCTGGCACACCATCTCCCATCCAGCCTCCCCAAGAGATGGGCAAGCTTCCCAAAACACACATCTGACTCCATCCCTCTCCCCCAGAGAAACTCCCACAGTGCCCCAGTGCCCCAGTATAAAGTCCAAACCCCTGGGAATGGTTGCCCTGGCCCCTGCCAGGATCTCCAGCCAACACCCTATGCTCCCTCCTCCGTCCAGGCACCCAGGCCTTTCTGTCCCCTCTTTCCAGCACATAACGCCATCCTCTACCCACGGGCACGCTCTCCAAGAAACAAACCCCCTGCCCACCATCCCCCACTCCAGGTCAGAAGCCATCAGCCCCTCTTCCCATTATCACAGCTCTCTCCTTCTGGGCAACTGCCTCTTTTCACAAAGAATTTACCCCTTAAGGGTGTGCCTCCTCTTTGACATGGTGTCTTGAAATATTTGTTGAATGAATTAATTAATGAATGCACATTTAAAACATTCCTCTGGGGCTCTTTTTCTGAGATGGTCAGAGATGTATTCTGGTGATGCTGAGAGGGGAGAAAGGCTCACGGTCAGATAGTGGGCTGTTCCATTCTCCTGCCAAAGTCAGCCCTGAATAAAAGCCAGCCCCCAGGACCTCCAAGGGGGGGTGGGGCACCTCCAGACTAAGAATCTGGGGTGAGGGTTATACCCCCAACATCAAGAATCAGTACAGCTGCCTCACTGGACTGCAGGGCAAGCTGATTGCTCACAGCTAGATCGCAAGCCAGGAGGACAGATCCTATATTGCCCTGGGTCCACCATTTCTAGTGTCTGCCACATAGTAGGTGCTCAATACACACACTGGTTGACCGAATGAGCTTCTCACACGTCCAGACACTGTACTGAATGAAACCCTGCACTTCTCTAGGATAATTGCACCCTTGTCAAGCATGCAAATCCTTTAAAAAGGATTCCCCATAAAACCACCAGGACCGTGGCTAGTGGATGCACAACTCCCTCTGGAACTGTCCCAAGGATGAGACACCGGTGTCTGGGGGTGAATGCATGTTTGTCCAGGAGCTTCGATGGATTAGCAAAGGGAAAGCTGGGCCAAGGGAGAAGTCTTGTCCAAATGCCCTGGTTACTGATTAGCCAAACCCTAGAGCTTCTCTCTGCAAGGGGCATCAGAGGGGCAATTAAACCCCTTTGGAAGGAAGACTAAGTTAAATATCTGCCTAATCCTGCAGGTTAAAAAGACGCAAGTTGGGCTTCTGGAGCCTTCCTTCAGACACCTGAGGGGAAGCGGCAGGGCATGAGACAAGGGAGAGACCACAGAACGAGGGCCCACTAATATTTACAGAGCCTGTACCTGTTTCAGACCTTTTATACCTATTAATCCTGCCAGGCACCCAGACGAGGGAGGACTGTGACCCCCACCCCCACTCCATTTTGCCCCAAAGGGAGACCTGGGCTCAGAGAGGTTAAGTGTTTTGTCCAAGGTCACAAAGAAGCTGCAAAGAAAAAGCACTTTCTTTGTGCAACAGGTATAGCCCTTTCCTTTCCAAAAGGTAATGGCAGCTCCTGTCTGGAGAAAGTTCAGTCCCGCGGGTAGGAAGCCCTGGCCACCTAGGCGGCGCGCGGAGGTCACACGGCAGCCCCACTACCGACCGGCTACCGACCAGCGGAGAAGCAGGGTTTCAGGGCGCGGCGCCGCGGCTCCGTGCCGAGTGTGTGCTAGGAGGGTGTGGAAAGGTCGGGCCCGGCTCGGGGGTCAACGGGCCGCTTCCCTTCCCCTGGGTCCCGCCTGTAGCCCTAGGCAGCGCCGCCAGCGGGGTGGGGGCCACCCGAGCCTACCGGGAGCAGGGGGATTGAGCCTTAATCCCATCAGGGCGCCTCTGCCCTGAGAAGGCGCGCGGTGGGGTGCGCAGGCCCTGCAGGGAGGGCGCGTCCGGAGCCCCGGAGCCCGTGGGGCCCCGCGCGCTACTCTCTCCACCGCCTCAGGTGCCCGGAGGATCCCTTCGCCCCGGGCTCCGCCTCGATCAGCACCCCCGCTTCCCAGTGTCCACCTCCTGGGCCTCCAACCTGCACGGACGTCCGGATCCTAGCAGTTCCAGGCTGGGTACGGATCTCCAGCGATACCCCAGCTCCCGGCCACCAGATCTCCTCTCGGAATCACTCCCAAGGCTCGGACCAGTGGGGGTCAGAGGAGAGGGATAAACCAGCTCCCAGTTTCCAATCACCGTCCACAGTCACCCCCAGGCTGGGGATCGTATGGGACCCCAGGCCACCAGCGCCCGATCCACTCCTGGGATCGACTCCCAAGTCTTCAACCGGGTGGCGTGGGATCCATTGGCTGCCCAGTGAGGGATCTTCCCGCGGGATCCACTCCCAAGTCTCGAGAGACAGACCTCCCGGCTCCCAAATCGAGATGCCTCCTCCCCGCAGACCCAAAGCCCCGGGAGATCCACCGGGTCCCCACCTCTTCCCCGGCCAACTTTGCCAACTTTTCTCCCGGGGCCTCAGCCGAGCAGAAACTTGGCGGCCATCGCCGGCCGCCGCCTCCCCGGCCCCCTCGCAGACCGGGGACAGGGGGCGGATGGCTTGCCCCCATCTACCGCCGCCGCCGCTCAACCTACCCTAGAGCCGCCGCCGCCGGCCCGCCGTGCCTCCACCTGCCCGCAGTCTGTGGCACCTGCCCGCGCCGCCCGCGGCCCAGCGCAGCCTAGCCTGCTGGGGGCGGGGCCTCGGGCGTGGAAGCGCCCCCGTCGCCGTGGGAACCGTGGCCGGCGGCGCCTGCGCGGAGGGCCCCGGGGCGGAGCGCTGCCGGCGGACCCGTGCTCTCGGCCGGCGCCGGGGCCGGGGGACGGTGAGACAGGTCAGGGGTCACGAGTTTGCCCCGACACTCCTCCCGGAAGCGGTCCCGGCCCTCGAGCCCCGACCCCGCCGCGCCGGACTCAGAACGTTGTTCATGATCCCCGCCCGCATTCCCGGGGTCAGCCCGCGGCTCTGGCTGGGATCCCCAGCAATGGACACCGACCGGCCGCCGGGTCTGCGCCCCCAAGAGCCTAATGCAGCCCGGGAACTCAGGAGGCGCACGGTTAGAGCCTCGCCCATTGAATCTCTTGGGCTGCGGGTGACGGCTTGGGTGGGTGGGGGTGGAGGGGCGGTCTGCGCGAGGCGCTCGTGCCGCCTCGCGGCAATCAGGGGAATTGCACCCGGGACCGCACGACCAGGGGCTTGGCAGGAGGTTGTTCACTCCCGCTGGGGCGCCTACTGTATGCCACGCCTGCTGCCATTGTGTTGAGGTGGGGGTTGAGGTGTGAGGCATATAGAGAGTTTTTGGACAAGTTGAGAGAATCGAAGGAAGTTGCTCCTGAATGGGAAAATGCCTGTTTTGCTATCCTTTACTCATTTCATTCCACAGGTCTTTATTAAGCACCTGCAGTATGCTGGATGTCAGGGACCCAGTGGTGAAGCATCTGGCAATATACAGGCTCTCGTGGAGCTTACAGACATTGTAAACAATATTTGCACGAATAAATTGAATTGTATTTGTGACTCGTGCTTTCTTCCTTAGGAAGGAAATGTACGGAGAGTTAACTGAAGGATCTAAAATCATACATGAATTTATTGTACGTCAGTTAGACCTCAATAAAGTCAAAGAGAGGAAAAAGAACATCACGCTGTGTGGCTTCAGGAGAATTGGCAGGGCTCTCTCTTACCTGTCTTTCTCTCAATTTGTGTGTGTGTGTAAGAAGGCACCCCTGTTACAGGAGATACACACATCATATCTCTTGTTTCTTTTAATCTGCACTTTTGGAGTAAGTATCAGCATTTTATCGAGCAGCAGCCTGAGACTTGCCCACAGTGATGGAACCCAGAAGTGGTGAGGCAGTGGCCCCATGACGCCCATGGCTGCATTGGTTCTTCGTTGCTGCGCGCGGGCTTCTCATTGTGGTGGCTTCTCTTGTTGCAGAGCACGGGCTCTAGGTGCGCAGGCTTCAGTAGTTGTGGCACGCGGGCTCGGTAGTTGTGGCTTGCGGGCTCTAGAGCGCAGGCTCAGTAGTTGTGGTACACAGGCTTAGTTGCTCTGCGGTATGTGGGCTCTTCCCGGACCAGGGATCGAACCTGTGTCCCTTGCATTGGCAGGCGGACTCTTAACCACTGTGCCACCAGGGAAGTCCCAACGTCTTACATCTTAGAATAATCTCCTGTATCTGGATGTCTTGAGAACAGCCATCAGTAGGACCCAACTGAGTGGCTTTTAAATACGACTACCACTCCCAGGGCGGAGTCTTTGTGGTGGGGGACAGAGAATGGTTGGATTGAAAGTTAAAATGCCTCAAAATCAACCTTTAAGCAGGACTTTTGCATTACATGTATATTATATGAGCAAAGGCAAATCGTCTGCTGTCCTCTCTAGAACTTCTGGAGGCAGGGGCTTTTCTCTCTTTAGTTCACTCCTTATTCTTAGTGCCTAGAGCAGAGCTTGGTACATAGTAAGTGCTCAATAAATACTGCGCTTAATAAATATTGGGTTAAATGCATGAATGGCCAACAGCTGATAGGGTACCCTCTGCTATCTCTCCTCCATAACCTTATCAGAACTTCCTGTCTCTCCCAGGCACATCTCAATGAACCATAACATGTGGGCTGAGGATTCTGTTGAACTGGACGTCTCTCAGCTCCCCATCCAGCTTAGTCCTCCATCTTGGCCTCTCCTCTCTATCCCAGAACTTAAGTGGGGGAAGGGAGAAGACAGTCCTTTTTCTGCCACCTGTCACAGAAACCCCAAACCCAGGTGTGTTCCCAGCCCTAGCCAGCCCACCCCCAACTCTACACCCCAAGAAATGCCCAGTGTCAGTTCTACCCACATCAAGCTTTGAGGGGAAATCCCAGATGTGCCAAACTACAACTCCCAGAGCCCTCCTGGCCCCAGAAGGGGCGGGACTTCCTGGCTCAGCCCCCACCTTAGCTGATTCTCTCTGTGTTCCTGTGTCTTCCCTCCCAGGTGAGAGGCTGCCAGCCAGCACACACCCAGAGATTACACCCTGACCAAAGAGGTGTCAGGTTGTACATTGTTTTCAGAGCCAACACCCCACCCACCACTCCCAGCCCTGGCTTTTCTCCTCCTGAGGAGAGAGGACAGTGCCACCCAGGGACTTTCCCAGAACCCCTTCTCTGCCATTGTTTGCCCCCTCTTCCAGAATGTTTGTCCTGAACTGGCAGCTCTGTCCAGTAGAGCTTTCTGCAATGACAGAGATGTTCTATATCTGCACTGTCCAACATCAGCCGCAGATGACTACTGAGCGCTTGAAATTCGGCCATTTTGTCCGAGGAGCTGAATTTTTTATTTTGTTTCATTTTAATTAACCGAAATAACCACACGTGGCTACAGCTACTGTACTGAACAGGACAGCTCTAGAACTCACACACTCCTTGGCAAAGACCATATTCACACATTTTCATTGATGTATATTTATTCATTTTGTTTCTCCCGTAATTTACCTGCTCCTTGAAGGGGAGAGCCAGTACGTTCTTTGAAATGTTTTCTCTCAACACCAGGCCTTTGCCCATGCCGTGGCCTCTGTCTGGAACACTTTGCCCTCCATCATCTGTAACAACTATGTGTCCTTCAGATCTTAGTTTTAAAGTCAACTCCTCCAAGAAGCCATCCCTGATTACCATCCCTGACCCCCATGCCGAAGCTTCTGAGTCTTCTAGCCCCAACTAGACACTGATGACACTGTAGTATAATTGCCCAATTACTTCTCTGTCTCACTTTCTAGACTGTGAGCTCCTTGGGAGCAGAGACTAGCATAATACCTGAATCAGAGCTGACCCCCAATAAATATTCATGGAGTTCAACGTTGAATAAATGTTTTCACATGATACGATCCAATGCCTCATTCACAGTAGTGATAATAATGAAATCTGTAATTTATTGAGCTGTCTCATTAAACGCCACAACAATCCTATAAGAGATGCTATATTATCTCCTTTTCACAGGTAAGTGATCTGAAGCTCAGAGAGGTTAAGTAAATCATTCAAGGTCACACAGCTAGGATCACAGCCTGGGTTCCCTAGAAAACAGAGCCTGAGGCAAGATTTATAAGCTAATGCCTTATCAGGGATGCAATCCCAGCTTAACAAGAGTGAAGGAAAAGGGACTGTGAGACTGAGAAGGAGGGAGAGCAAATATAAGACGTGTCTTACTAAGTTGGCCACAGCTTTCCAAGAAAATACGGCCGGGAGTTCCACGGCTCAGGGCATCTCTGGAGAAGCCACGTGAAACATGCAGGGATAAAGGGCAAGAACTTCATCTGCAGGCTCGTCCCCTTTCCTGTCTGCCATTAGTGACCATTGGGCCCAACTGCTCCTCATGTCTGAGCTGTGTTACCTACACCTCCAGGCAGCCATGAGGGAAGCCAGTTCTACACCCAGAGCTTCACCTGAGTCTAGAAGAGGAGGCAGCAGAACCCTATTCCCAACCCCCAGCCAAGGATCCAGTCAGGTCGGACTAGACCACAGCTGGGGTCGTTGGGAGACCAAGCCACGACTCAGGCCTCATCACCGCAGGCTGAGCTGGCCAAGTGGCTGCAGCAACTGACCCAGGCCGCCTGCAGGGGCAGGTGAGCAGAGGCTTATGGCATCCAGTGCCGCTGGGTGGCCAGGAAGGACACAGCTAAGCACACCTGAGAAGGTGCATCCATCAAGCCTGAGAGATACCACACTGGGATTCAGATCCAGTTCAGACTAGCTCCAAAGCCCTTCCACAAATACTGATTGAAAGAAAAAAAAAAAAAAAAAAGAATAAATACGTGACTGAATGAGTGGGAAAAAAACCCCTGGCAATCATCTCTTCAAAACCCTGGTGTATTCCAGAGGCTCTCATTTTACGGTGGAAAGACTGAGGCCCAGTAAAGCAGAGATCCCCTGACCAAGGCCACACTGAGTGTGGGTGGCAGAGCTGGGACTTGAGCCTCCATCTCAGGCATCACTGAACCTTCCTGCTTCTGACAGCACCAACTGATGTGTCTCATTTGTCGTGTCAGCATTTATAGCATCAGAGTGACGCCTCTTGTTCTCACCTTCCCAGCATCCACGGCCCATCCTCTGCTAACAGCACCTTGGTTTTCCTCCTAGAAACCAACCCATCCCCCACCTTTAGTCCATGTAGTTCTAGTGCGGTGAGCCTCATGACATGCTTACTCTAATCCCCATTCTCCAACCCTCAATCCCTAATCCTTGAGCCCAGGTCCTAGATCTGGCCAATCAGAGCATCCCATTTCCCTGGCCACAATGATGGGACCCAAGCTTGTCCAGTGAGCGTTAATCACAGCAATTGCGGCAACTATGTGCAAAGAGGAGCTTTTTTTTCTCTGGGGCTGCTAAGCCTGGAGGCACCAGAAGCCAACACTGTTAGAATCTGCCTGAGAGCGAACCTAACTCAGCAGAAAATGGAGCTGAGAGATGGAGAGAGAAAGAGAGGTCCATTGCTTATTCACCTGGAGCCAGCTGTGCCTGAAGCTGTCCCACAGAATTTTCACTTATGTAAGCCAATGCGTTTCTCGTTTCTAGTTGAGCCAGTTGGAGCTGCACTTCTGTCACTTACCGCAAAGACAAGACAAGCGCCTATTCTGTGCCAAGTTTTATGCTGAATGTGGGGGACAAAGATTTTTCAGATCCA